ACACTGACGCTCAGTAGCAGCAGTGTGTAACATCTACAAGATGCACTGCAGAAATTCATCAAAGATCCTTAGACAGCATCTTCCAAACCCACGAACACTTCCATCTAGGAGGGCAAGGGCTGCGGATACATGAAAACAACATCACCTTCAAGTTCCCCTCCAAACCACTCACCATCCTGACTTGGAAATATATCACGATTCTTTCCGTGTTACAGGGTCAAAATCCTGGAATTCCCTATCAAACGGCATTGCGTATTAACCTACAGTATGTGGACTGCAGTGGTTCAAGAAAGCAGCCCACCACTACCTTCTCAAGATCAACAAGGAATGGACAATAAATGCTGGCTAGCCAGCAACACACGCTCCATGAGTGAATAAAAACACTCACAAAGGCTATCCATTATATGTAAAGTACCTCAAGTGAAGAAAGTGCTGTAAGGCTTTTGGAAAATCAGCTGAAACGCCATCCAAAAAATAATTCAACTATGTAGATGCGCAATCATTTAATTATTTGATGTTCATTTTCTTAACTGCATTATAAAAATTATTGTTGTGTATCTGTACTCATTTAAAAATCCTGGAGTACAGCTGATTGGTCTTTCACATTAGTGCAGTCAATAGGACTGTAGAAAAGTTAATTATGGAAACTGCTTGCAGATGACTACAGCACTCTTGTTCTTCGTATCCAGTGGAATAGCTTATTATTAAACACAAAGATGATTACATATTGTTACAAAGGTGCTGTCAGAGATGTGAAACTAATTATAAGGTGACTGAACTCCCACCACTGCCTCAGCTTATTTGCTGCTGAAAAATGCATATCTTTGTTACCTCTCATAGAATCATAGAGTCTTACAGCATGGAAACAGACCCTTTGGTCCAACTAGTCGACGCTGACCATGTTCCCAAATTAAACCAGTCCCACTTGCCTGCATTTGGCCCATATCCCTCCAAATATTTCCTATTCATGTACTTATCTAAATGTCCTATAAATGTTGTAACTGTACCAGCATCCATCACTTCCTCTGGCAGTTCATTCCACACACGAACCACTCCCTGTGTAAAAAATTGCCCCTCCCACCATGTCCTTCTTAAAACTTTCTCTTCTCACCTTAAAAATATGACCCCTAATTTTAAGCTCCCCCCAACCGAGGCAAAAGACCCTTGCTATTCACCTTATCGATGCCCCTCATTAATTTATAAACCTCTATACGGTCATCCCTCAACCTCTTACGCTCCGGTGAAATAACGTCCCAGCCTATCTTTATAACTCAAACCATCCATTCCTGGCGACATCCTTGTAAATCTTTTCTGAACCCTCTCCAATTAAATAATATCCTTCCTATAGCAGGGCAATCGAACTACACACAGTGCTCCCGAAGAGGCATTACTAATGTCCTGTACAACCTCAACATGACGTCCCAACTCCTGTACTCAAAGGTCTGAGCAATGAAGGCAAGCATGATAAATGCCTTCTTAACCACCCTATCTACCTGTGACACAAACTTCAAAGAATTATATGTCTGAACCCCTAGGTCTCTCTGTTCTACAAAGCTACCCAGGGCTCTCCCATTAACTGTATAATTCCTGCCAATGTTGTTTTTACCAAAATGTAATACCTCGCATTTATCCAAATTAAACTCCATGCACCACTCCTCAACCCATTTACCCAACTGATCAAGATCTCCTTGTACTGTTAGAGAATCTTCACTGTCCATGATATACCACCAACGTTGGTGCAAATGTATTAATGATTGCTCTTATATTCTCATCTAAATTGTTTATATAAATGACAAACAAAAGTGGAACCAGTACCGATCCCAGTGGAACACCGCTGGTCACAGTCAGAAAAATAATCCTCCACCACCCACCTCTGTCTCCTACCATCAAGACAATTTTGTATCCAATTGGCAAGTTCACCCTGAATTCCATGTGATCTAACTTTACTAATTAGTCTACCATGCGGAATAAAGTCCATGGAAACAATGTCTACTGCTCTGCTTCATCAATCTTTTTTGGTTACTTGCTCAAAAAACTCAACCAAGTTTTGTGACACAATTTCTCTCACACAAAACCATGCTGACTATCCTGAGCAGTTCTTGCCTCTCCAAATGCATGTAAATTCTATCTTTCAAAATCACTTCCAACAACTTAGCCACCACCAATGTCAGAGTCACAGGTCTATAATTCTCAGGCTTCTCCTTACAGCCTTTCTTAAATAAAGGCACAACATTAACCACCCTCTAGTCCTCCAGCACCTCACTCGTGGTTAAGGGTGATACAAATATTTCAGCTAGGGGACCCACAATTTCTTTCCTAACTTCCCACAACATTCTTGGATACACTTGAACACTCTTGAATACTCCAGTGCTGTCCTGACTGTCCTTTCAGCTTTTATCTCTGAAAAATTAAGTTCATCTGAAACCTTGCTGTCTCTCTTTGCACCAAGTCCCAATTCCCCAGCATCTTTGTTCGTACTGAGCTACATTGATTCCTGATCTGGCATCAACTTGACTTTAAATTCTCACTTTTGTTTTTAGATCCCTCCATGGCTTAACCCTTCCACATCTCTGTGGCATTCTTTAGTTGCATGGCCCTGAGCTCTTACAGTCCTCCAAATTGAGCATGGTGCACCCCACCTCCTATTTCCACTGCTCCTCCACTGGTAACTCTGCCTTGAGCAACCAAAGCTGCTCTTCTTCTACTTCTCTTCTACCTCTCTTCTACCAACTACCAGTCTCCTTTAAGGCACCTTTTAAAAGCTACTTGTTTTACCACTCATTTAGTCATTGATCCATTTATTAATTCTGTGTTGATTTTGTTTTGATTGTGCTCTTTTGTTGGGCTTTAGGACATGTTGCTGCATGAAAGATGCAATGTAATTATAAGTTGTTGCTGACGTTTTACAACTTGCAGGTTGGTTTTGCATTAGTTGGCCCATCATGTTGGTACCAGCCCTTAAAAAGAACAAACCAATGAATCCCAACTTTCTACACTTTCCATACTTCCCTCCAAACTTTTACTTTTCACATTTTTATCTAATTCCCTTTTGAAAATTACTACTCAACCTGTTTCTGTCACCATTTCAGGCAGGGAGTTCCTGATTGATAGAAAATAAAATATTTCCCAGCCTTAAACAGCCAAAGCACAACTTGCAGAAGCTTTTCTTATATTTTTGTATAGTTATGTGGGAAACATGGACAAATCAATAATTCTTGTCCACCTTGCTTTCTTAGAGAACCATTACTGACACTGACATAGTACAGGGAATTTTACATTCCATTCCGCTCCCTCAGAGTAGGCTAGCAGGTGGAACCCCTACAACTGGGTGCCATATGACCCACCATTTGGATATTCATGCTAAGGCCTGTCAGGCTTACTCCAATGGAAAACCCCATTCCAATTTCTCATCCAAGTCCACCGAGGCTGGGAACAGACCATAGTCCCAGCAATGGCCACTGCTCCTGATGGTGCTGTTGGGTGCAGGCTGCTTGATTGGTTACCTGAGAGACAGGATTTTCTCCCAGTTGGGAGTGGAAATCTCACCCTGAGTCAATTAAGACAAGGTGACTTCACCTTTTACAGAGATAGTACCTTTTACATATTTGTTAGATGCGTGTTATACCAGTTCCTATTTGACACATGAAGCAGATATATTTTTCTTCCCTTAACCGACAAGTGTATCTTAAATAAGTGATGTAGAAATGAAATGTCAGAAAGATTTGCATTTCTAATACCTTTCTAGATCTTTGCATGTCCTAAAACACTTTACAACCAACAAGGTACTTTTGAATTGTAGTCACTGTTACAAATGTATGAAATGAAACAGCAGCCAATTTACATGCAGCAAGCTCTCACAAACAACAATTAGATAGCCACTAGATGACAAACTTATTAGTTGTTAATGAGGAGTAATTACTGGTCAAGATACAGAGGAGAATGGCCCTTCCCTACTTTGGAATTGTACCATTGGATCTTTCTCAGTTGCTTGAGTGGGTAGCTGAGGGCTTCATCTAATTTCAAGTTCCTGGAATGAACCTACAATCGATTGATTCATGAAAATGCCAGTAATTGGTGGAAAATCTGGCTAAGTAGCTTTGGTTCTCTCTAATCTGTCATTTGCCACTTTGGAGGTGATATATCTTCTTGCAAAACTTGGTACGGGTGGAATTTAGTACATTTTCTTTAGAACTGGTCATCCAGCTTTATCCAATCCCCTACAACTAAGGTACATTGGCTGGAATATTATATGTTCCCACCCATTACCCCACCCTGAGACAAGCTTGGCTGGTTGGAGGGGTATAAAATCAGCTGGCATGACAGAGGTGCCAGGTCTGTTGCTTATCCCCTTCCACTAGGACTGCACCACAGGTGAGGTAGATGTCAGCTCATCTGTTCAGCTTTGGGCAAATTGGGGCCATTAAATAGCCACTTAAGGCGTTCTCTCTCTGTCACTGGTATTTTATTAGTGATACGAATGACCGCAACACAATGTAAGTGACAGTCTTGATGGAGACTCCATCCTTAAAGGGTACCCAAACAATGCTCCTCTCCAAAGTGGTAGCTGCCTGTTTGTTTACTCTCTCCTTCTCTACAGGTCTCCCGGGGCAGATTGCTAATAGCTGCGTGAACTCATACACAGGGACCTGTTCTCTGCACGCAGAATAAACAAGTCCAGCCATTGCACCTTTTCCTAGCTAAACAGAATGAGAAAAACAATGTTGCATTCCCTGGTGCATTCTCCATGATAATGTCTTGACCCATCAGAATTGCCATATAAGTTGTTGTTCCCTTTGAAATTTGGCATTCTTGTGTCTGTCCTTATGCATGTAAAAATAAAGAGCTTTGACAGCGTGTCTTTTATTTAGATATCTAAAGTGCAGGTGCTTGTTAGCAGGCTCAGGTCATTTAAAATAGCATTTACAAATCCACACAATTTCCTCAGCTCAGGGAATGATACATTGGTTTAAAGGAAATAAGTAGCGAACTGTATACTTAACCTCCTGTTAGTTGGCAAGAGTTCTACAGTGATCACATCAAGGGAGTTCCAGGCTGAAATGGTCAGACCGTTGTATAGGCAGAGCATCCCAATCATCATAGCTTCACTGGTCCCAAACCATAGGAAAAAACAGCTGATCCCTGACAGAACCATGGATCCACCTACGGGGGTTCAAAGACCAACAGGTAGTCAATGTAAGATAGCTATAGAACCTGCTGGAAATTCATGTCATTATCAGTGTCTGTAAGGACGAAGAAGACCATTTAAAGTGATTTTACAGGAACAAAAATAATCACAGGGTAATCTACCCAAGTCACTAAAACAAAGGACATGCTTTTATATAGTTTTTCATATCCTCAAGTCTTTCAAAAGCACTTTGCAGTTAATAAAATACTGACTGAATTGTGTTCACTCCTATAATGTCGGAAATACAGCTGCCAATTTGTGCATTGCAAACTTCCACAAATCTTCTTCTTAGGAAATCAGAAACAAGACTTGCTTCTGCTCCATTTTGCTGGGTTCTGAAATTGCTTAGAAGTCTAAAATGTGATCTGTTGACCATGCGTATTGGGTGGGGAGGGGGCATGTGGCGATTGAAGAGAGGGTTGCATCTTCCCTTTAACAACTCAACTTCATTTCTGCACATTCCGAATGAAATCCTTCAATATGTTTGGTGTCAGTTCAAATAAATCTTCTCCATTTGATCCATCACAGTCCAGGGATCTCTCTTGAATGAGTGGGTCTGTTTAATTCCAAAAGGCAAGAGAAAACCCTCAGCATCATATATGTTAACAAACAAGCAAGGTCACTGCATCAATTGTTTTTCCTGCAACTTACCAAGCTTCTGGATCAAGAATTTACTTCACCTGGCAAAGCAACAGTGAATTATGATGAGATACCAATATGATTCTTTCTTGTTGTCCAGTCAGGATATGCACGAACAATGCAAATAACTTCATTCCAATATTCCTACTCCCAGGGAAAGATTCCGACATCTACGTCTGACCTCCAAGAATCTAATTAATAGGAGGGATCCACTGGACGTTTTACACTGAACACCCACCTAGCAACTCCCAGTTAAGACAACCACAAGAAATGTCACCCACCACAGTCTGGTCGCAATCATTCAATGTGTGCTGGCAGCAGGCATGGTTCTGAAATGGGCAGCTAATTTTAAGCTGTATGCCTTGTCTATGACTATTACATAGAGGGAACATGGATGTGAAGGTGGAGGAATAGGGTTTGGAGAGTGGGGTTGTCTGAACGGTGGGCTGGATATGAGTTCTCAGCGAATATTTCCCCCATCTGATTGGGGAGAGGTGGTATTAGTCCTGGAGTAGCAGTGGGATGGCTCTAATCTCTATTGATGGAGTGAAAGGATAAAGAAGTGGCCTCCTTGCCCTTCAATGCAGCCCCCAGAACTTAATATTTGGCTCAGTTATTGCCAAAGCTTACAAATCAGTAGTTTTCTTCACCTTGGAGCCTCTTCTGCCTCATAAACATCCCTTACCACCTCTGGATGGGCTCCATTGAGGTTTTCTGGACTCCCAACAGGGAACTCCAACTTAGAGGCATGGAATCCTGACAGGAGCCTGTCCTGCATCCTTCATTGCCCCTGGCCCAACAAGTGGCTGTGTGGTCAGCACAGATTCCAAAGGGCAAGACAAACACATTGTCACCAATGCAACACAGAAAAATGCAACTGTACATCCCCAAAGCAGAGAGCCTTTTTATCTTCCAGCAGAACCACTACTCATCCCTTAGTCAAATGAAATATTTACTATTGTCTGACAATCCACTGACCGTCACCCTCCAACACAAGATAAGATGTTCATCAGTTTCAGTTACAGACATAAACAATAGGAGGGCAGTTGGAAGAGGGCACTGCCTAAGTGAGCTATTTCAAGAATCAGCAATAAAGTGATTAGAATGAGAACAGCAGAAGATACAGGTGTTAGATGTTATGAGGAGATAAAATATTGGAAAGACTGTGCAAATGTTGAAGAAGGATATAATCATGAGCTAAATGATGGAGTCGATTCTCAAAGACCAGCTTGAAAATGGCTCAGATGTGTTCCCACAGTAAGTTAGTTCATTCATATTCATTACACTGGAAACCTTATTTTAGCATAAATAACAGTTTATTAATTGGGATCTCTTGGAACTCCAAACAAGACAAAATATCAAGAATCCAATTTGACTGAAGTTAAGATAAAGAACCGCCATGATAATTAAAAGGCAGAGAAAGCTCAAGGAGACTGAATGGCTATCTCCTGTCCATATGTTCCTTGCTAAAGTATAGACAGTAAATCTCTGATCAAGAAAAATGGATTACTGTTCTGACCATATCAATGCATTTGTTCCATTATTAATTGAAAGTTGAGACAATAATTTCCATTTGGAACATCAAATGATCCATGTTCAAAAAAGCCCATTTTTACGATTAATCAAGAGATTGTTGGATATTACGGTTGATTGTTGAATTCTCCCAGTTCAAAATGTAAGTTTATATCACACACTACTGAGCCAGTGATCAGTCAGGGACATCTGAATTGTGAAATGGGATTCTTTGCTTTATTCAACAGTTATCTCATTTTGTATCTACATATTTGGCAAATTCTTAATTCTTCATGTTTCAATGTCTTAAGTTACTCAGATAGCTGGAATCATAATTTTCTTTGAGTAGCATGAAATCCATTGAAATCGCTTCTGAAAGTTAATGATTGTCCCATAAAGCTATTAATGATAGAAAATGGCAATGCACAACAAAAAAGTACTATGTGGAAGCTTAAAGGGGTCCAAGTGATGTGGGCTACGATGATAAACATAGCAGAATCGCACGTGATGTCAAGACTAGTAATTTGTAATGGCGTCACCATCACCCTGGGTGTATCCAAACATTAAATCTGGCATTATCTACTTTTAATGGTCCAAGATCAGGTTAGCAATCTTAGTCTGTGCTCATGTACCAAATATTTAGCAAAACAACTTCACAAAGATCAGTTTAAAATCAATCTGTAATCACCTTCACTCTTATTACCATGCTCGTGGTACAAAATATAGGATGAACTGCTCAGAAGGGTATTTAAATATTCTAAAAATAAAGGGTAAATTGTACCTAACATTGTCAAGCGGCCAATTCTGTCCATGAGGAGTGCAGATACAATGTTGCCTGGCAATACTGCTAGTGTACCTAGGAAGTTCACAAAATAGATCCAGTATGCGCTGTAGTCCTCATCGAAGTTAATCTGGCAGCCTTTTTTATTGTGAAGAAATGTGGTATTGATGAACTGGCAATCAATGAATTTAGACATCTCGAGATCTAAAGGAAAATCAAGAAACACATTTATTTACGACTGGCACTGATTTAAAAACTATGGTTAATTAAGTAGCTGAATGGTTGGCATTTCCTCCTTATTATTTCCCATTAAAATTATCTGATTAAACCACAATCAAGATAAATTGAAGAGTGTAAATGTGGCAAGCAAGATTGGAAAACTATGCAGTTAATTATTTCAAAAGATTTCCTCTTCAACCTCAGCAGACAACTTGCAAATTTATGTTTTATTAGACTATTTTCTGTTCATTGTATGGGAAGGGCTCAAGGCTGCAGAGTTGATGTTGGCCCTGTAAATCTGTAATGAATGCAAAAGATGACAGACCTCTGTCAGCTATTTAAAGATAGTTAGCTAAAATAAGTAGTTAATGTCTGTTGTTAAGATGGCTCACAAAAGAATTTCCTTACAAACATTGCACTAAGAAACAAATATTAAACTTGGAAGAGAGAATCCTCCCTTCACCTCATACCAACACACAAACTCTTATTTCCACTCCAGTATTCTTTCATACAACATTATCAAAATAAACATGGATTTGTGACCACTTTTTGCTCAGATGTGACAGGGGTTACTAATGAATTAGAAGACTGAACCTAATCAGGTTCAAATCTCAGTTAAATAGCATGAAATACAACTGTTTGGAAATTCTTCAGGGATTCCACAATCTCTCACTGCAACTGCAGTTGTGAGGGTTCATGCCATTGCTGTGAAATTCCATATTGCCTCATAAAGGCAAAAGGTATCTGTGGTCTGGCACGAAGATGGGAGCTGATGTGGTAGTTGTGGCTGGTGAGCTGATTGGAGGCATACTAATCTTCTAAAGGGCTCTGTGAACGTGATGACTGGAGGTAGCCCACGAAAGGGTGAAGATTTCACATACCTGCACCTTTACTGCAGGTGATCATAAAATTATGGCTAATGCTGGGCACGGGCAATCTCACTGAAGTGGTGCTTAATTCTACCTGCAATTTGTAAATGAGGCACAGCCTCCATTATAAACTCTGGTGGGCATGATCCCACTGCAACTAATGGGTTTGTAAGCAAGGAAGTTTGGAGGCAATGACAACAAAAAGAGTTTCATAAATGAATCTGGGCATGGAATGAATACCCTTTCACTTCCACTAAATTAGGCATGTGAAAGTAACACGTTTGTCATCAAGGTCACAATTTGCCCACCTACCTGTATTATAGAATAAAGTTTCATTAAATGTGCAGTTCCTAAAATATGTAGTTAATGACGTGACATCTTCAAAATAGCAGTTCTTAAAGAGGGAATCTTCAAAAGTTACTGCTTTAAACTTCATAATAGTAAACCTATTAAAAAAAGAAAATACTGTTTGGCATTTATTACATTTGTTGAACGCTTTCTTTTTTTGAAAAAAAGTCAGAAGTCACATAACACCAGGTTATAGTGCAACAGAGCCTTCATCTGACGAAGGAGCAGCATTCTGAAAGCTTGTGATTTTAAATAGACTTGTTGGACTATAACCTGGTGTTGTGTGACTTCTGATTTTGCCCCAGTCCAACATCGACATGTCCATATCATGGCCTTTATTCCCAAGAAGTTCTTTCCTCAGTATATAGCGAAACAAGCTGAATCTGTCTTAAGAAATTCATATCTTTCTAAGAAACAGTACTTTGATAAGCTTGATTCAGCAGTAATACCCCAGCTACAATTAATAAAAGGTTTCAAATCTGTATTTAGTAAAAATGCTACAGCCCCTCAGTTTGGAAACATCTGGATTAGATGGTAGAAGCTAACTAATGGCTCCCAATCACCAAATCTGAATGTTGACACTAGGAGCTTAGATTTTCAACGATTTCTCCATAATGCATTTTTGTATTTTGAATGCATTAAGATATGACTTAATCTTTCCTGACCTGTCCCTGATGTATTCTCCATTTGTATGGATCTGGTTTTCCAAAGTAAAGTTGAACACAAAATCCACAACTCTTTCGCCATAAAACCTTTTCACTCGGGATGCATACTCGTCAGCTTGAAGGTGTTTGATGACATCAGGGAACCAGACAGAGAGACCATAATAGCTTAAAAATAATAACAGAATGGGCTAAAAGTTGTACATCTGCCAGAAGATGTATAAATAAGAACAGAAGGATGTTGCTTTCACATTAACTGAAGCACAGGAAACAATTTACTACAATGCTTTGCTGTTTATACAATTAAACCTGTTTAGTAATGCTTGAGAGAAAATAATGGAATGCATAATGAGATGATACAATAATGGATGGTTTTATAATTGATTAATTAACTGACTACTGCAAACCATGGGTAGGAGCAAGATGGGCTTAAAATATACCAGAACAACTGTTGGAATTTAAAGAAAAATCTAACTTTTTTTTTGTATAAGGAATATATGCCAAGTGCTCTTTCTGCTTTGTCACAATATGACCAAACAGTTGCTGGCAATACTCATCCTATTTTCTTAAAGAGGAAAAGTTGGGTGAAATACAGTGTGAGCAATAAAGACACTCCAACTGTGAGGCACCAGATTGTGTGTCCTCATAGGAGTTCCACACACCAGAATGCTCCAGTACATGTTCCAATTAGTGCTCGGCTATAGAAATCCCAAGTAATTTTCCCCAGTCCAGGCCAGGAAGACCATTGTGAATTGTAACCAATGTTCCCTCTAATTTCATTTTGCTGTACAGGGCTGTTGCGTTGCACTGTGTGGCTCCTTTAAGATTGTTGTGTGGCTATAGGTGTGTGCATATTTTAAAGGGGACATTGACTATGTGCAGCCAGTTTGACCCATTGATTGCTTTGTGACCACGTATCTCTGATGGGAACACTGACTGTGGTAACGTGACTGGCAGTGAACCGGGAATATTCCTAGTCAGCATGGAAGCAGTACACAATGGGATGCATTTACTCACTCAGTCAACAGGGAAGGTACAAAACAACATATTTTCCTAGGCTAGAAAAATACTCTTTGAAAGTAGTCTCTGCCCTTCCTATTTTGAGAACTCATGTGAAAGGAGCAAGTTCATAACCTATTTTGAAATACTGTTATTAAACTCTCCATTGTACTTCATGTATGGATAGAGAAGGCAATGTCCTTGTTGTATTAACACTGGATTGGTAACTCAGACACCGAGGTAATGCTCTGGGAACCTGGGTTCAAGTCCCGCCATGGCAGATGGACGAACTTGAATTTCAATAAAAACCTGGAATTAAGAGTTTAATGATGATCATGAATCTATTGTTGATTGTCAGGAAAAACCCATCTGATTCACTAATGTCCTTTAAGGAAGGAAACTTGCATCCCTACAAGGTCTGGCCTATATGTGACTCCAGACCCACAACAATGTAGTTGACTCTTAACCGCCCTCTGGGAAATTAGGGATGGGCAATAAATGCTGGCCTAGCCAGCAATGCCCTCATCCTGTGAATGAATAATAATAAAAAATTGTGGTGATCACACAGTGGACCAGAACACATCTACTATTTGATTTAAATAATTTAAAAATCACACAATCATCAAAACGTTTATAATACAGGTAATTTGGATTTAATGATTTTCAGCAATAGGAAGTCTTACCCAAATGACAAAGTTGTCCAAACTATAATCAGCATAATGGTGTTTTTCTTCACTGGATAGTCAAAACATCGCATGAAAGTCATCCAAATCTGAGAACACAGACAATGCATACCATTTGACTCAAGATCCATGTAATTATATTCTTACCTTTTATCATAATGGACAAAAATGTGCAAAAGGAACTACTAGTAAGGGATAAACATTCACTGGTGCCAGATTTCCATGGAGAGCAGTAGAATTAGGTTTCATGTTTCTGGGCATGAGCCACCAATCAGTAAAAATGGGTGAAAGCTTCTGGAGGCAGCGGTGGTGTCATCAGCCAGCTCGAGAGTTGATCAGAGACCTGGGCTGTCTTCCACATCTCGATCGTGCATTGGCAAGTCTACCAGCAGGCTGTCTCCTTGAATTAAGACCCCAGATGGCAAGGGGCCTACCTGCAGCTGCAAGAATCCCACTGAGATGGATAGAGGCCTGTAAAAGCAGTTCTTCCTTGGCCATTCTAAGGTGTCAACTGGCAGTGGGGCAGAAAGGCTGACTCTGGACATTCCCACCCAGAATTTAATTCTGGTGGAGGCAAGAAGGCAGCAGGGCCTGGGGATTCCACTAAACTCTGACCTGACGTTCTTGGGACACAAACCCCCTCCAGACCAACACACCCTTCACCCACTGCACACCCAACACACCCTTAGCCCACTGCACACAAAACACACCCTTCGCCCGCTGCACACCCAACACACCTTCGCCCACTACGCATCCAACACACCCTTCGCCCACTGCACACCCAACACACCCTTCGCCCACTGCACACTCAACACACCCTTCACCCACTCTTCCCCTGCTCCAGACTCTATCCCCCCACCTACCCTTGCTCCAGACCTGACCACTGACCTCATTCCTTCGCTCTAGAGCTGACCTCGCCTTCCTTCCCTCAATACCTGTTCAAACTTTTTCTGCTCAGTATCCGATTCCCTTCTCCCTCTCAGCACTCAACCACACCCTCCCTTCACCCCTGGCAGGTGATCCCCCTGCCCTGACCCCGCTACATCTACAAACATGACCCACCTTCACCCACTGTAGATTTATCCCCAATCTCCCTCCTCGCACTACCACACCAAACCCAAACCCCCTTCCCCTGCACCAGAGTTAATCTCTCTTCAGTCCCCACAACCTGACCCTCCTAGACCAACCACCACCAGGTTCTCCAGCTCCCCATGCAAATATCCTCCTTCTCCCACTGCCCATCTCCTGACTCAAAACCTACCCTCCCTTTCTTTTCCAACAAAATAGGTCTTTCTTGTGCTTATTTACTATTCCACTAGTCACATATTTGAAGGATAATCCTCCATCATTTTCAACACCTTCAGCTGGATGGCACCACCAAACACATCTTCCCCTCTCCTCGACTCTCAGCATTCTGCAGGGGCCATTCATTCCATGACACCCTGGTCCACTCCTGCATCACCCCTAACACGTCTCTACTCTCCCATGGCACCTTTCCATACAATCGTGTCACACTTGCCTATTCAACTCCTCCCTCTTCATAGTTCAAAGCCAATAAACACACCATTCAGGTGAAGCACCAATTCACTTCTATTTTTCTCAATCTAGTTGACTGCATTCACTGCTCACAATGCGGTCTCCTTTACATCAGTGAGTCCTCATGCAACTCGGTGACCATTTTTGCAGAACACCTCTGCTCTGTCTAGAGGAATGGCCCCAACTTCCCAGTTGCTTGCTATTTCAATAGGCCACCTTGCTCTCATAAGCTCAAGGAACAACACCTCATTTTCCACACCTTACAGCCTCATGGTCTGAGCACTGAATTCCATAACTTCAGAAACTGGCCATTATATGTGTTGTTCATTTTTCTTATATTATTCTTTCCCATTTCCCACTCACCCTAACAGTCTTGTCTGGTTTGTGCCTTTTTTACTTTGCTGTTAGTTGAGAGGACACATTCTCTCCCATTTCACACCGTAATTTACATATATTTCATGTCTGTTTCTTTTTCACTACCATTAACAACCTCTTTGTCTTTTGCACCGAGCCCCTACAACATTTGCCCTCTTCTCAGAGTCATTCCAGACTCGAAATGTTATCTCCATAGATGGGCCAGGCCTGCTGAGTTTCCCTAGCATTCTCCGTGTTTGTTTCAGGAACTAGGCAACACCTTAGGGACTTCCAGGATTGCCTGGCCCCAATTCCCAATCCATCCTAATTCTCCCTCTCTGGACTGAAAATTCAAAATCTATAAAGTGGTGCTCGTGGAGCCAGAATTTCTCCTGACTTGGAGACCCCAAACTGAGAATGTAACCAGTGTTCCTAGAGATGTGATATTATACTGAGTTTTTCTGTGCAATAGCTAAGTTTCTAGTGGTTAAACGTTTTAGGATGACAGTGGGTAAAATCTAAATTTCCAAAACTTTAAGATTTTTTTAAAATAATGGTCACATGCAGAGCAGGAGACAGCAATATCAAATATTTGCTTTCTTTTCAAAGAGCTGCTTTGTTTCAGAATCTGCTGATATTGAGTCCTGACTATAAAAACAGCAAGCTCCCCCTGGCCTTAACACTTCCCTTCTGTTAGTGAAACTCCTCTTTTAAATTGTTTGAAATGCCAAAACAAAAGAAGCAAGTAATTGTTTAAAATTGGACGCTGGTTTGCCAACAGAGATGTACAATGGTACAGTGATGGGAAATTGTTTGCTCTAACCCTGCACCATCCTAGCCCACTTCCTTCATGATAAATGAAGATCAATAGTACACTGTGTTTAAAAAAAAATTAAAATAAGGCTCAATTGACTGCTCAGTGGTGAAAGAGAAATAGAAAGATATTTCTGTGCCTTAGATAATGACAGCCCATCACTAAACCTATGGGTGACAAATGGATATGGGCAGGGAACAAAAAGGATGGAGCGTACAGTGGCAGATGTACATCAGCAGCTGGTTTCATTATTATTCTGATAGGTGGATGATATTAAATCATTCCTTCTCTCTTTCATCTTGCATTTATTTCCAAACAGTTTCTTAAACCTCTTTTCCTGTTTGCTTTACGTTTTCCACTTCTTTCACCACCTTTTGTTTGTCTCTTATACATTTTCCTGCCCATTCCCTTTTTACTATTTATATCTACGTGTGCACAGTAATACCCTTTAACTATTTGTAGCATGAATTGGAATGAGTTGGAGTAGTCTGTGGTCAACTTGTTGAATAAATCACTCGGATACCGATTTACTCTGAGATTTATAATATCAGTGACAATATTTCTCAGCCAGTCCTGAGACTTGTTTGCATGTTGAAATCAGACACCTTGAAGGAGTTGAGGAGGTTATATATGTAACACAGCATTGAACCACAAACCTAATCCTGATGATTTAATGCTCATTTCTCACGGTGCAAAAGAAAGTAATTCTGAGCAGCTTCCTGGATCAAATGCCTTTCGTTAAAGATTTTTTTTTTTGCAGAGCCAAGTTGAGTGCCTTTAGAATGATAAAGAAATTTAAATTTCCCAGGGTCCCAGTCTTCTTTGTGTTCCCGTGGAATGATTGGGCAGGGTGAATGATCTGCCAAACCCCAGCACATTTTGAAGAATAACGTTGTCAGGTTGCGTCCTGGTAGAACCTAATTCTGTCACAAATTCCCAGCCCCTCATCCAAACATGATTTTTTTCTACCTTGGCAAACTTAGGAATGTTGGACCCCAGATATTCATCAGATATTCCAATCTGTACAGAACTGCAGCATTCATTATGAGATGAATCTACATTCAACTTGAATTGTCTAAATTGGAATTGAAATTTTCTTTTCCGGCGTAATGTAACTTGCATCATTGAGGAGAAAGGTATTTGTCCCACATTATAACACAGTTGTTTGACTTACGGCATACAGTTCAGTCTTGATCCGAACAAACCATCTCATATACCATGTGCCCGTGTCTGTCTGTATCTCTATCAATTCATCAATCAGTTTTGGAGTCTTGATTCTATTGACCTGTAAAGATAAGAGTTGGCAAATAAAGTTTGATTCACTGGTACAAGTAGTTTCCGAGGTAAATGCATCTTCAAGCTTTCTTTCCTTGTTAATCAGAAGGCAAAATGCATTGCTGATAATCAGACTTACTTTCAGGAGTTCTGTTCTGATCAACTGGGACTTCTATTTTGGATACGTGAGCCAAACTTTGCGCACACCCAACCTGTCCAGCCAACGTATCCTGCTAATTTACTGGGAGCATCAAAATTTGCAGCAGTGGGACATCTCATACCGTGGCCCTTGTGTTAGAAGGATGAACTCCTTGCTGGGATCTGGTGATGCTTGTCCTGACACCCAAGGGCAGTTTGGGAGGAGGCAGTTAATTGGGTGGTATCCTACAGGAGCCCCACTCAGTCAAAGACGGAAGACAGTTGGTTGGAAGACCAATTGGATGCCCTCCACCACTGAAAGGTTGTCAGGAGCTGCTAACATAAGTAGAAGAAAGAGAGGGCACTTCAAAAGGGAAAAGGAATGTCTCTGGCCATGACTGTAGTCCCATGGCAGTCACAGATGGCAGATGGGTCACATTGAATAAGGCAGCAATGGCTGGCATCCAGCCTGCCTGGTGTCAGTGCCATCCCAGTTCATTGATTTGGGCTGGCTCCCAATTGGCAAAGGCCGGAATGCTTCTTACAAGTTATGAACAGGCAATTTTAGATCTTTTCTAATTAACTTATTCATACATTGTTACATAATTATTACATACTTCTGGAGCAGGTGGGACTTGAATCTGGGCTTCCTGGCTCAAAGACAGAAACTCCACCATTGCATCACAACAGCTCTCATGAGGCTATTTTGTTAGACTAGTCGATTACCACATTTACTGGTGGATAACTGTAATAAACCCAAGCACCCAATCTACTTCCCCTAGTCTCCAATCTAGCCTCAAAGAAAATTGCTCCAAGGTGGAACTACAATGGCAGAATAACACAGACCATAATTTTGGGAACACTCTTAAAAGCAAGGTACACATATGATAACTGTAATGTGTACTAAGTATTAAGTCCTGGTATCTAGAAACACGTAGAATTTTTACAACTCTTAACTATCTAGTCCACGTTCAATTATCTTGTCAACTGTTGGTGAACAAAGTCGTTAAGGTGAATTCCATTTCTAATGTTTAACATAGGATACATTTAGAAAAGCATAAAAAAGGAAAATGAATAATTGAATGAAATAATTAAATTTATTTAATGAGTAAAGCTAGAATTGAAAGTTACTCTCAGTAATGGTGACCACAAGAGTATCATCAATTGTGGATAAAATTCATCTGGTTCACTAATGTGCTGTATGGGAGGAAATCTACTATCTTTACCTGGTCAGGCCTTTAATGTAACTCCAAAGCCACGGCAACGTTATTGACTCATAACTGAAATGGACTAGCAAGCCACTCAGTTCAAGGGCAATTAGGGATGGGCTAGTAATGCTGGCATAGTCAGTGACACCCACATTCCCATGAAAGAACAAATAAGAATACCATTCAGTCCAGCAGGGCAGGCTATGTGTTGCCATTATGGCATGTGGGAATTCCTGGATGTCAATGCATTCCAGGGCAAATACAGCTACAGTAAGTGTTTGCAGCCTGAGTGGCTTTGGCTCAGAGTTTATGAGCTGAAGGTCAAACTGCAAATACAGTGACTCATTAGTGAAAGGGGAAAAAAAAGTTACTCGGACAGTTTATTCCAGGAAGTGATCATATCCTGAGGGCAAAGTCTTCTGATGTAGTCATTGGTCAGCAAAATTGGTTCAGTAAAAAAAATTAGGACAGTATCAAACTTAAAAGCAAATTGCATGATTGCACACAGGTATCTGGTAGGTAAGGGGATTGGACAGAATAGCAAAAAACAGCAAAGATTGACTAAAACATCAATAAAGAGGGAAAACCAGAGGATGAAACCAAGATAGCTAGAAATTTGAAGATAGATAATAAGAACTTGTACAGAAATTTAAAAAAAGAAACATGTTAAAGTGTTCTGAAGATGGGTCACTGGACTCAAAGTGTTCTCTCTTCTTTCTCTCTGCAAGACCTGCTGAATTTTCCCAGCAATTTCTGATTTTGTTTCAGCTTTCAGATTTTCAGCATCCTCAGTTCATTGTTTTATATCAAAGTGTGTTGGTCCTATATAAAATAAGTCTGGGGAATTAACAACAAAAAATAAGGAGATGACAGATGAATTGAACAGATGTTTTTCATTGATCTTCATAATAGAGAATACAATAACACTCCAGCAATAGCTGTAAATGGAAATCGAAGTGAGGGAGGAATTCAAGAAAATTACAGATCACTAGGGAAGTGATACCAAGCAAATTGTTGGACCTGTGGCATGACAAGTGTTCAGGTTCTGATGAACTTCATTCAGTATCTTAAAAGAAGGATCTACTGAGATAGTTGATACATTGGTTTTAATTTTCCAAAATTCTCTAGATTCAAGGAATGTTCAATTAGAGTGGAGATTGGCAGATATAATTTCTTTATTAGAAAAGGCAACGAGACAGAAAGCAGGCATATACAGGTCAGTTAGCTTAAAATTTATCATGGAGAGAATGGTAGAAGCTATTAATAAAGATATTATTGAAGGGCACTTAAAAATATTCGAAGTAATCAGGCTGAGGCAACATGGTTTTGTGAAAGGGAGACCATGTTTAACCTTTTTTTGGAGTTCTTTGAGAAACTAACATGTTCTTTGCATAAAAGGGGTGCCAGCAGATATATGGCATTTGCGATTTCCAGAAGGCATTTGATAAGATGCCACATCCAAGCTTATTGTGTAAAAGTTTTGAACTTTTTATTTCTCTATTTTCTAATTTATTTCTACAATCTATAATGCTGGATTTTTATTTCTTTTTCTAATCTTTTTCTCTAACAAATTTAATTGAAGAATCTGCACCTACGTAACTTGTACCTAAGATGGCATTGTAAATGACGACTTCTAAACTTTTCACTGTATTCATTTGAATACATGTGACAAAAAAGCCAATTCAATTCAATTCAATTAAAAGTTCACAATACAGGAACTGACCAGGTAACAAGAAGCAGAAAGTAGGTACAAACTAGTCTTTTAGTTTGCAAAATGTAACGAGTCTTGTGCCACAGGGATAAGTACTGGAGCCTCCTTATATTGTATTATTGTATTTATATTGTATTATGTTTTTGGGGAGGTGATCGTGTAATGATAATGTCATTGGAATAGAATAGCAATTTTTGTCACATATATACTTACAAAAAATATACAGTGACAAGTTTTATAGGTAGCAATCCAGAGTCCTATGCAAATGATCTGGCGATGTGGTTTTGAACGCCCATCATAGTAAAATTTAAATTCAACAAAAATCTGCAATAAAAGGCCAATCTAATGGCAACCATGTAAGCCCGGTCAACTCTCATTTAAAAAATAATCTGGTTCAGTAATATCTTTAGCGAGGGAATTTTGCCATTCCTGCCTGGTGTGGCCTACATTTGACTTCAGACGCACACCAATGTGAGTGACTTTTTTAAGTGCCCTCTGGACAATTAGGGATGAGCAATAAATGCTGGCCTAGCCAGCAATGCCCGCATCCTGTGAACGGATTTTTTAAAAAATGACTCGGATGAAGGGACAAAAGCTGAGGCTGCTAATGACAAAAAGATAGATTGGAAAATAGATTGTGAAGAGGAAACAAGGAACTTACAATGGGATAAAGGTTAAGTAAATGAATAAATATCTGGCAAATGAAGTGTAATGTGGAGAAAGCTAAATTGTTTCTGTGAAAGTTCCATTGTTTTACTTTACCAAATGGTGCTAACCAAATGAATCAGGTGTTTTTCCACATACACACATCTTGTGTGGGATAGCAATCATTCTTGCTTTCTTACTGATTTCGGTCTCATAGAATGGTATCTGTTTGCTGGGCCAGGTAACTCCTGCACGTCAGGATGGACTATAATACAGGAAGAGCCAAAGTAAATAAGTTCTTGCTTCTAAGTCACTCTCCCTATCATATCATCCTACTTTTCAGTCCCTCTCAAGACTCTACAATTCTCCAAATGGAGCTCATCTTTTATTGTTAACGCTTCCCAGTGCCACTTACAGTGAATACTTTCTCAGGCTGTCCCCGTGCTCTCATGTTGGTGTCATGAATTTGCTTCAGAATCATCCAGGCCTCATCATGTTTCCCCACCTATAGAAAAAAAAGCAAGTAAATGCATTCTCAGAACTATCAATCTTCTAAACATACGCATTACATTCATAAGATTTCTGTCAATCCAGAACCCACAGCTTTCCTTATTAATTGAAGGAATTTCCAATTCACCAGTTGGATCAGAATTTGTTACTGATCCTAAATTGCCCTGAAAGAGGTGGAGGTGAACTCCTTTTAGAAACATTGCATGTGATGCATGGACACCAACTGTGCTGTTAGGAAGGGAGTTCCAGGATGTTGATCCAGTGACATTGAAGGTACAATGTTATATTTCCAAATCAGGATGGTGAGTGGCTTGGAACGGAACTTGCAGGTGTAGTGTTCTCATGTAACTGCTGTCTGTTTTCTAGATGGGATTGGTCATGGGTTTGGAATGTGCTTGGTGAATTTCTGCAGTGCTTATTGTAGATAGTACACACGCCTAATGCTCAGCATCGGAGGGGGAGGGAATGATGGATTGTGAATGTGGTGCCAATCAAGTGGGTTAATTTGTTCTGGATGGTGTCATGCTTCTTGAATGCTTTTGGAGCTACATTCATTCAAGCAAGCGGGGAGGATTCGACCAGACTCCAGAATGTATCTTGTAGATGGTGGATAGCTTTGGGAGTCAGAAGATAAACCATCTACTGAATGTTCACAACCACTATTCTAGCCACTATTTACTTAATGGTCCAGTTCAGCTTCTGATCAATGGTAACCCCTAAGATGTTGATATTGAGGGATTCAAGGATGGTAATGCCATTGCATATTGAGGAATGATGATTAGATTCTCTCTTGTTGGTAATGATGATGGTCTGGCACTTGTGTGGCATGAATGTTACTTTCCACTTATCAACCCAAGTCTGAATGTTGTCCAGGTCTTGCTGCAAGTAGATATGTAGGCATGGGTTTACTTTAAATTTTCTGAGAATCATGAATGGGATTGGGCAATGCACAACCATCAGAGAACATCGAAATGTCTGACCTTATATCAGAGGGAGGTCCTTCATGACGTTCTCGGAGATGCCAGAGGAAGTGGTGGAGGCTGGTATAATTACAATATTTAAAAAACATCAGGATGAGTATATGAATAGGAAGGGTTTAGAGGGAAATGGGCCAAATGCTGGCAAATGAGACTAGATTAATCCAGGATATCTGGTCAGCATGGACGAGTTGGACCGAAGGGCCTGTTTCCATGCTGTACATCTCTATGATTCTATGATTGGTACCCTATCCTGATGAATTCCTGCAGCAATGTCCTAAGCTTGAGATGATTTGTTGTCATTAGGTGACTCTTGGAAAATGCATGCGCTGAATGATAAGAGGTTCAGGCCCAATCATTCTTCCTCACATACTAACGTATTTTTCTAAGACTCTGAGCTAATGGACAAATAATAGCCAGTAAAAGGTCCTTGATATGTACATTGGTGCCTTCAGGAAACAAGGGCGAGAAAGAATGCTAGAAAAAAAATAGAAAATATTTACTTTTTCTGTCTCAAATTGTTCCAGATGAAAAATATTATCATGGATTGTCATTGCACTTAAGAGAAAAAAAAAGCCATTCACTCAAAGTGCCATACCTCCAGCAGGAACCTGGGACTTTCAGGCATAAAGGTGAGTGCGACAACAGACGAGACACAGGGAAGAGCGCAGACAACGACAAAGACCCGCCAGCTATGGAATTGGTATGCAGAGCCCATACTGAAACTCCAACCTGAAGAGGGAAAATGCACATGTTTAGAACGGTACCCACAAATCCAAAGGCTTTACAACTCATTTGGGCAATTCTTACAGCTTGCTTTGTACAAACAAAGTGATTGCTTAAAACATTTCGGACTGATCATCTCTTGACTGGTGAAAGTTGCATGAAACAGCTTCTTTTTAAATGTGTCAGAAACATGTGCCGTATGATGTTTCTGCTCATTTATCACCAAATGCTGCATTCTACTGCTGCTGGCGAAAGAAGTTACTGTACATTGTATTTAAATAACTTGGACTGATTGGCATCTGCATGTTAAAAATTGACATAATTTCAAGGCTTGAATTCTCTCACCTTAGCAACTCAGCAAAAAACTCAGATGGACTGACACAGCCCTGAAATGATTGGCAATAGATTGTGACACATGAGGCAGGATTGTACACTCCCTTCCTGAGAGTATTTCCCTTCCCTTCCCTTAGCACAATTAAATAGAGATCATGGGAGCTGTTGGACAGTCTGTCTAATCTTTGACCGATTAAGGCCTTTAAGTAGACTTCATTGGCCACTTAATGCCCTCAAGCCTCGCCCTGTATATTATACCTAGAGAAGGGCAGGGCCCACACCATTCAGAAAGCTGATAGTTTGAATTGCACAGGCTGCTGTTGGAATTGCGGATGGACATTATTTGCAGCCCTCCTCTCCCCCAGGCTCATTAGATGTGTCCTCCTGTAAAGGGGAGACAATTTACACTTTTTGTGAAACGCATGCGTGCAGACGTATGAGAATCCACAAATCATTTTGGTGGTTTCGGTCACAATTCTTCCTGATCTTGCTATAACGTCACAAAGTGTTGCCACGCTCCAGCGCCATCTTGGACATTACCAACAGATTTAAAAACAACTTCTTCCCCACCGTTATCAAACTTATGAACAGACCTCTCATGTATTGGAGTTTATCTTTCTCTGTTTTGTGCATCAGGGTGATTACAATTCCATAACACTACATTCTGCATTCTGTGCTATTGCCCTGATGTACTTATGTAAGGTATGATTTGTCTGGTCAGCATGCAAAACAATAATTGTCACTGTATCACAGTACATGTGTTAATAATAAGTCAAAGCAAATCAACCTTCTGGAGATGTGGACTTCATCCTTGATAGTTCTTAATTTGCAGACAAGGTGTTGATGTGTTTCTTGTTGTCTTGATGTCCTGACTTTGCAAGACCTGGTCTCTCTGTGCACATTGCAGATATTTTTGCAGGTAACCCTTTTCCCATTGTGCAGTGGGTGACGCGGACTTTTTGTTGCATATGTAATTGAGGCAGTTCTGCACCTACAAGCAGTTACACACCATCTTCATCCTCCCTTGCTTGTCAAGCAGTGTGTTCGGCATCTTGGAGAATTTGGGTAGGTGGTGGCTTCAAAAAATCATCCTCACTTGTCTTGCCAACTTTATGCATGCTGGTGATAGCTCCAAATCTAGATGCATAGCTTTGAGATGTAACATGATAATATAAGAATCTTATTTCATTGTGCTACACTTCAAGACAAGCTATTTATTTGTCCAAACAATTTGCTTGGCAAGACTATTTGATCTAGGGAAATGTGGTGAGGACTTTACATGGTTCATACCCCATATGGCATATATATATATGTGAGAAATGGGCCTACATACTGCAGCTTATTGTCAGAAACCATTTTTTCAGGGGCACCAAATAGTCTGAAAATGGCCCTCAGTATGTCCCCCACAGATGTGTATCAAGTGTTCTTTTCCTAATTGACAACTGGAAATTTGGAGAATTAGTCAATGAGTAAGATGAAGTTAGCTCCATTCATGATGAACAGATCAGTGGAGATTTTACACCAAAGGATTGAAGGGTGTAGACATTCTCTGAGTTGCTGTGGCTGATGCCTCAGACATCTTCACTAAAGCTCAACGTCATCATTGATCCCTGACCTTTAGATCATATCATGTGCTATTTGTCTCTCGCCCTCTGACCATATTCCCTTGGTGTAGTTATAGCAATATATCCTAGAAGAGAGTTTCAGACATAAATGAAGACATGTCAGCTCTTCATGTCAGCTCTGATGAAGAGTCATCTAGACTCGAAACATTAGCTTACTCACTCTCCATGGATGCTACCTGATCCACTGTGATTTCCAGCATTTTTTGTTTTTAGTACAAATTCCAGCAACTGCAGTAATTTACTCCACCTTCAGACATAAGTATTTATTTGCCTCTCGAGATATTGAGCTCGTCTCAGTAAGGTCAAAAATGTCAGAAGGTGACTGGAACCTTTTTCATCATGTCAGGCTACTCTTCAATGATAACTTTCCACTGTGATCTCAGTTATGGGTCAGTAGCAGTTTCTGATTGAAGTCGGTTATCTTTATGCTAACCAAAATGCAGCAGATTGATTTTGAAAACATTTTCTACCTTGATGCTGTCAATTGTAGATCCAGTGGAACATCCGCAGCCTTGTTTGGATTCAGTAATCTGCTTAGTATGTCCGAGGTATCTGCGTTGCAATGCACATAATGGGTAATATGGTTCTGTTCCCGATTAGCCAGTTTGTACTTAATATGTGAATGCTACACTTTCTGGGAGGGTCAATTGAATTGCATTTTCTATGCTATTCAGTATAGCAACTCCTTTGAACCTTCCTTTGACATCAGACCTGTCTAGGTATAATACAAGGGCTCTTGGTCGCTTTTGCTGTTATGGTACCTTTGCAATTCAATAATGAAGCTATTAAACGAGTACTTCATTTTTCAGGAAGTCAGAAATTTGCTAACTGGTAACTTCTGAATTTATACATCAGAATTAAGCATTCTCGTTAACATGAAGCACTTTTGTATCTCCCTATTAATAACAATTTCATTTTCAAGAAAAGATTGAACCATAATTCAGCATGTTACTTCAAATGCAATCCTCTTGCATTCAAAGGTCCCTTACCTCTGGTACACAGAGTACTCATGTACTCATTCAAACCCCTATCATTTTACAGACATTCTCTTCCATTACTTTCCCATAAATGTTGGCACTTTTCTCTCTTGCCCTTGATCTTTACTATTCACTTTAGTATTTCATCAGTCACCTACTATCCACTTTTTCTTTTCTCTTGCATTTATTAACTCCTCTTTGCCTTCCCTGTACCGTTCATTGCTCACTTCAGTATCCTCCATTTCCTCTTGAGATCTATTTCCCACCTTATATACATTGCCTCATCTGGAGCTGAGATGAGTGGCTAGTGCAATGATACATTCGCTGTACTTCCCTGTCATCTGAGTGTTAGTGGAGAGTCAGGACTTTTGTCTTTGCCCCAAGGTGCCTGCCGCAAAAGTGGCAATCTTGATCTTTCGTGAAAAGAGTAACATATCCAATATATTATCCATCAGATTTGGGAAGAACGGGACTGCAGTACCAAAGGGAGCCTGACTTTTCTGATTTATATCTTGAACCTGTGAAAACCTGACCAGAGCCCGAGGTGACTTATTGTTAATGTAAAACGCTGACAATTTGATATATACATTAAAATTTTCCTCTTTGTTTTCCCCTTTTTATTCCTTTCTCTCTCCTGACTCCTTGTTATTTATTACCATGACCCATTTAAATCACAGCCTCTTTCACAGCAAGGATTTCCGTACATCACCAAGAAATGGCAATTCTGGATTCAAACTGATTTCTATCTGCCTATATTCTTCCCTTGCTCCATTTTTTCCTGAAACTCCAGCCCAAATCCCAAGGGAACATGGTGCTATACTACTTAAGTGAAACATTTAGAAGCTACGCCAGTTGGAGGGTTTGAGCTATAGGCTGGAGCTATTTTCCCTGGAATCGGAGGCTGGGGTTGACTTTATGAGGTTTATAAAATCATGAGGGGCATGGATAGGATAAATAGTCAATGTCTTTTCCCCAGGGTAAAGGAGTCTAAAGCTAGAGGGCATAGGTTTAAGGTGAGAGGGGAAAGACTTAAAAGGGACCTGAGGGGCAACTTTTTCACACAGAGGGTGGTTTGTATGTGGAATGAATTGCCAGAACAAGTCATGGATTCTGGTACAAAATCAGCATTTAAAAGGCATCTGAATAGGTACATGAATAGGAAGGGTTTAGAGGGATATGGGCCAAATGCTAACAAAAGGGGCTAGTTTAATGTAGGATATCTGGTCGGCATGGACAAGTTGGACCAAAGAGTCTGTTTCTGTGCTGTACATCTCCATGACTCTACTCTAAATACCTGTGGAGGGATACCTGCAAATTATTTGATTTTTTAAAAGTTTTACCATTTCATAATTCTCATCATAGAAGTCCATATGCTAAACATCTTGCTCATTGTCTTGCCTGTCTCAATGAAATTCTGTTTATTTTTCATTCATAGGAAGTGGATGGGCAGTGCTGGTTGGGTCAACATTTATTGCTTGTCCGTAGTGGCCATGGAGAGGGTGGAGGTGAAATGTCTTCTCAAACCACTGCAATCTTTGTCGTTATAGATAGTAGTGGTGGTGTGATTGGAAGGTGCTGTCTAAAGAGCTTTGGTGAATTTCTGTAGTACGTCTTTAGATGGGACACACTGCTGCTACTGAGTATTATAGGTGGAGAGAGTGAATGTTTGTGGATGTGTGTTTGGAATGCGCTGGCAGAAGAGTGCTGCAGGTGGATTCCATAAGATAATTCAAAACAGAGTTGGAAAATGATGATGTTAGGGGGGTACAGAGATAGGGGTGGAATGTGGAACTAGCTGGGTAGTTCTTTCGGGAGACGATACAGACATGATGGATTGAATGGTCTCCTTCTGTCCTGTAAAATTCTATGATTCTGTGTCCTTTCAAGTGGGCTGCCTTTGTCTATGATGTCAAATGTCTTGAGTATTGTTGAATCTGCACTCATCCAAGAAAATGTATGGTTTACTAAATTATTTTAGACATGTCTATCTGAGCTGCACCAAATGATTGAAAGAAAGAGTGATTTGTGTACTACACAAATGTTATTAAATAGCTGTAGATACTACACAATA